TTTTTTAAATTTTTATTTATTTATTTATTTTTAAATTTTATTTATTTATTTGTGTGTGTGGGGGGTCAGTTCAGCCCACCAGAGGGTTGGGCTGGCTGGCATGTGGTGCTGGAGGATTGAACCACGGTCCAGGTGCTTTGCCAAGCTTGTTCTAAGTAGGTGCTTTAGAACACTGAGCCATCTCACCAGCCCCCCACTGAGCCATCTCACCAGCCCCTGAAAACTTTAAAAATTAACCAGTTGTGTTATTTGCTGTAGATTCTTCTCCCTCTTCTATTTTTTTTTTTTTTTTAAATTTTTTTTGGTGAAACCGGGGATTGAACTCAGGCTCTTGCGCTTGCCAGAGAAGCGCTTATTCCACTGAGCCATCTCCCAGCCCCTATTTGCTCTAGATTCTTGATGTACAGCTAGCAAAACACCTCAGCAGTACTCATGAATATTGGGCTGTTCACTAGCCTGCATATTGGGCTGCCTTGGAATTTACTCTGCCAGATTAATTAATCCACCACCCTTAATCTCCCACAAAGTCTTAAGACATGAGCAAAATGAAGGCAAATTTTCTGCCAGAGTGTAACATACATGGGCTCAAATTCAAGTGCCAATGGGGTTCTCGTTCCAAATGAAACCTCCTGAGTCTTGTCTCTGCCTTTTTATCAGCCTTCTAGTCTTCTGAGCTTCAACCAGAATCTCCCATTAAAATGGGCTGAGAGCATTTTAGGACTGCATTTCCAGCCAGTCCCTCCAAACCTTTCTAAACTCTTTCCACAAACTACTGTGAAAGGCTTTTGAACAGCATGGTCAGATGGTGGTGTAGCAACGATTCTGCTGTTGGTGCTCAAATCTACATTACTAATTTTTCTGGTTGTGAGACATAATACCAGACATCTGAAAGTTAAAGAGAGGTTGGTTTTGGCTCATGTTTCAGTTCACAGTCAGCTGGCTCCAAGGAGGGCTTACAAACTGCAGGGCCAGGGCAGAGGAAAAGTGCCTCACGGCTCAGTGACTGGGAAGAGGGAGTGAAGGGAAGGAGCATGGGAGGGAGAGGAACCCTTCAGGCCAGGCCCTCAGTGAGCTGCATCTTCTGGCTAAATCTTATCACTTAACAGCAAGTTAAGTTACAAGCCCCATAATCCAGTCACCTTCCAAAACTCTTGCCTATGAACCTGTGAAGTGTTTAGAGGACGTCTCGGTAAGCCCAGCCTACGCAACTTGGCAATTTCTCAAAAACTAAATTTGTTTTATAGGAGTAGGGGTTGAGGATGTAGCTCAGTACAAAGACCCTGAGTTTTATCCCCAATAGTTCAAAAATAAAATAATCAAATAGGATGGTGGCGATAGTTGAACAACATTATAAATAAACTAAAAGCCAATGAATGGTGTACTTTAAGAAAAAGAGTTTCATGGTATGTAGGTTATGCACCAATAAAACTTTTATAAAAATTCATCTTACACAACAAAATACTTAAGTGAATGAAAGAATAAATGGATCTTTTGACTTTGTATGTACTTGAAACAATATTTCAGGGCTTATTCCATGTTAGTAGTATTAAGTCCTAGATGAATGTGTAATAATTCTTTATTTTAAATATATATTGATAGTAATTTCTTTCCTTTTTTTTTTTTTTTTTTTTTTTTTTTTTTTTTTTTGAGACAGGGTATTGCTATGTAGTGCAGGCTGGCCTTAAACTCACATATGTAGCCCAGGCTGGCCTTGAGCTCACAGGGATCTTCTTGCCTCAGCCTCCTGAGTGCTGGGATTACTAGCATGCCCAACTCAGACATTTATTTTTAACTTTTCCTATTACAATATTGCATTGAATATCTTTTTTTTTTCTCTGAATGCCTTCAGGGCAGGTTTGGCTGGCTTGAGTCGTGGGGATGGAACCCCAGCAACCTGAGCCTGACTGCTTTGTTGAAGCAGCCACTTAAAGAACTGAGCTAAGGGGCAGGCCCCCATTGCATTGAATATCTTTATGTACAGTACAAGTCATTTCACATAAGGATGGGTATTCATAAGATAAACATCTAGAAGAGAGGTTAGTAGGTCAAGAAGTACCTTCACTGTAAAATGTGACTGATGTTACCAAGTGGCTTTTCCACAAAGAGGCAGTATGGATTCTCTCTCCTGCCAACCATGTGCCAGCAGCTTATGGCCCCCTAACTCCCCCCAAAAACACTTAAGGCACCCAACCTTTAATCTCTGCCAGTCTGGAAAACCACAGTATCTCCTGCTCATGTAAATTTGCATTCGTGACTGCAGAAGAGAGGCTGGAAGAACTCCTTTCTCTAAAGCTCTGACAGCTAGCTGTTCTAGGCTTGAGGGTTGTGGAGCAGTGTGGGAAAATGGGACTCCCCCTCAGGGAATAGCTGAGAACCTCCAGAGCGGGACGGGAGTCGTGATGTGAGCTAGTTGCAACCCTGTGTATTGCAAATCCGCCTCCCCTGTGTGGGATGCAGTTCCAGGATCTTAAGGGAACTGCTTCATCAGGAAGGCTCCTTTAGGGCTTTGTGGCTCACCAAGAGGAAGTGCAGTCCTCCGCTGTTCGTGTTCGGATGTGGATAAGAAGCAGCACATGAGCGGCTCGGGAGGACCAGTGGCCAGTGTAGTGCTGAATGGGCCCTGGTGGGTTCACACGACCAGATTTAGGAAAACGTCTGGGAGACTTGTGCAAAACAGCCTGTAGCTTTATTTTTTTTTGGTATTTTTCCCTCCAGGAACGGTCTACCTTGATCATGCTGGAGCCACCTTGTTCCCACAAAGCCAACTCACAAACTTTACTAAGGATCTCATGGAAAATGTTTATGGTAAGAAAAAATACCATACTCAAGCTGGCTTTAGCCGGCGACTGTGCATCTGCTGCTCAGTCTGTGTCCAATGCTGTTGCACGGATAGGAGGAGACCACACTGAGCACACAAAGCTACGTAAACCTCATGTCAGATGGGGAGCCAGGCAAGTGCCCGGCCATTGTGTATCATCCACACACGGCCAGGAGGGAAGGGTCCAGCTCGGGGTTACACAAGTTACTCCCAGAAGAATGGGCCCATGTCAGGAAGGGCACAGAAGTCTGAAAGTGCTGTGTGTGGTGTTGCGGGTGACTCTGCACAGTGGAGAGGGTGGAGCTGCTGGAGGAGCATCATCCATTCATTCATTTAGCTCATAAATGTTTACTGAGACACTATGGTTTAAGGGGCACAGTAATATAAGGGGAACAAAATAAACACAATCCGTTTCTTCTTGGAGAGTAGAGACTAGTCCCAGAAGACAGATCTTAAGCAATTACCAAATAAATGTAATCACCGCCTGCATGAAGGTCTATGACCCCAACGTATGTGCTGCCATAGGAGTTTGTATCTGTAGTGTCAGTGGGTTGGCGATGTATGTGTCAGGGAAAGCTTTACTGAGAGTGAAGTAGATGCCAGAGGATGAGCCAGATTCACCAGGACAAGAGAAGTCCGGATTCACTAGGTAAATGAGAGTACAAGGTACATGGGCAGTGATCATAACACAAGCCAGATCTAGTAGGGGTTTTAGGAAGCAGCAGTGGTCTACAGAGAGAGGAGTGTGGGTGAGGTGTCCATGTAGAGGCAGGGAGAGGTGGGCCTGTGCAAGCGGGAGGCAGACCTGTGCAGGGGGAGACAGACCTGTGCAGGGGTGAGGCAGGCCTGTGCAGGGGAGAGGCAGGCCTGTGCAGGGGGGAGGCAGGCCTGTGCAGGGGGGAGGCAGGCCTGTGCAGAGGGGAGGTGGGCCTGTGCAGGGGGGAGGCGGGCCTGTGCAGGGGGGAGGCGGGCCTGTGCAGGGCAGACACAGGCCTGTGCAGGGCATTGTAAATGCTCTGAAGAGCCCGCCCAGTATTTTAGACCAAAGGCTGTGGCTTGGGGCATCCAGCAGCAGCACAACTGTTCAGGGGGTGACCTTGGAAAGGAAATTTGAAATAATAGCAGCTGTCATATTTGGCAGTGATCACAGTGATCGGTACCATTCACCAGCGACTCACTGTATGTGTTATGTTACTGTCTCCAGTGCTTTCTGAATTATCCTTGTTTAACCTCACAATGACCCAAGGAATGTAACAATACCAGTATCTGTTATGGCAGTTAACCCAAGATCTTGCAGCCAGAAAGTACTTGAGTTGAAGGAGCAGGGGGCCCATTTACCAGGCAGTTTGGCTGCAGAACCCAGACCCTTACTCCTCCCCAGCCCAGCTGCCTCCAGTCATCTTAGCCCTGTTACACTACACTAAGGTGTTTGAGCCTCTGCTCTGGATAGCCAGTAGAACTTTATATCTGGGGAAAAATTAAAAACTTAAAGTCACCACATTGCAGGGATGCGTGTGCACTCATGCATAGAGCTGCACAATTCATAATAGCTGGATCTTGGAAAGAGCTGATTGGTCCAGCCAGAGAGGCATGGTATTCACACTCAAAACAGTGCTGCTGCTATGTGAAGAAAGATCAAGTTGAGGCATTCGTAGGTAAATGGATGCGCCCTGAGACCATAATGTTAAGTGTATTTCACTTACTTAGTCACACAAGCTCAAATATCATGTGGTTTCCCTCATATGAGAAAATGAATATATCTATGTCTGTAGCTAGAGCTAAATGATAGGTATGTAGGAAGTAGGGAAATCTTTTTCAGGTAGATAAAGGAGCAAGAGGTGGAGGGGAGAGGAAGGAAGAAAAGGAGATGGAAAAAAAGAATTGGAGGAAAAAAATGAAAATAAAGCTTTTATGAATGGGAAGAGGGTCCAAGGAAGGAAAGAGTGAGGAGACACAGGAGTGGTAGGGAAGAAAAAGGAAAGAAAAGAATTATGATGTGTTATATACATGCACCAACCCTGCACAGTAGCACAACCATTTTGTACTGCAAACATGTACTAATAATTAAGAAATAATCTGGGAAAACTGTCAGGGAAGCTGCCAACTAGGAATTTATCTTGACTTTTTGATTTGCAGAGAAATCTGCAATTGACCTTCTATAACTTGGATAAGAGCCACAGCCTTGGTAAAGCCTGAGAGATGGCTGCCTGAGGTTTCAGTTGGCCCTGGATAGAGGGTGAAAGCCCGAGGGAAGGAAAGGCAGCGAGGGAATGCAGCAAGTCCATAGTCACTGGCTGATGTGGAGTGGGAATTGCTAGTAACTTACTTGGCCAGAGATCCAGTGTGAGCCTTCAAGGTACTATGGGGAAAAAACACTAAAATGAAAAAAGCCAAGTGTGAGCCAACGTGCACTTGTGCCCCTGTGCCTGAGAAATGCTGGGCTGGGCCTTGCTAGAGGGCTATGCTCATGTCTGAGAAGTGGGTTTGAAGGGTCAGCAGAGTTCTTTGGGATGCACAAGGGCACATTAGGAGTGCGTGTGTGTGTGTGTGTGTGTGTGTGTGTGTGTGTGTGTGTGTAGGGATGATGGAAGTCACCAAGGAGGTTGGCAGCCTTTTGTTTCTAGAGTGGGAAGCTGAGGGGTCTGTTCCCAGTCACACATTTGTTAGAAGAAGTTGGCGCATTTCTACAGGGACAGCAAGGGCAGCAATTGAGGGAATGGTGGCGCAGCTGAAGGGAACTATGCAAGTGGCATTCATGGCTCTGTCCCCGAGGTTGTGTCCTTGATTCTCTGGAGTTAATGGACAGAGCTTCAGGCCACCTGTAGGGAAACTGACAGAAAAGCCTCTTGGCCCGGTTGCCTCTGAGCTGACTTTTAGCTCCAAACCGCTTTTCCTGGGTCCCATCTTATTTAGTAAGTGAAAGGAGCCCCCCTTCCAGCAGCTTTATTGGGTTATATCTTACATATCTTAACATCTACCTACTTCAAATACACAATTCCATGTTGTCAGCACTTTTACCAAGTGGTCCAATCATTTGCATAAATCAGTGGGAGCACTTTCGTCCTCCCAGAGATCCCTCATGCCCATTTGCAGCTAGTCCCCACTGTCACCATAGCCCTAACCCACCTATTTTAGTATCTCTGTACAGTGTAGTTGCCTTACTGGACATTTCATATAAATGGAATCACAGAACAACATGTGGCCTTTAAAAATCTGTTGCTTAGCATGTTTTTGCAGTTCATTCATGGCATAGCCAGGAGTTGTTCCTTTTTTATTACCAGATTTGTCTGTTGTATGGATATGCTGTATTCTGTCTATCTGTTCCCCAGTTAATGAGTATGTATATTGCTTCTAGAATTTGGCTTTATAAATAGAGCTACCATGAACATTGTGTGTAAGTTTTCGGATGGATATATGTTTTTATTCCTCTTGGGTGGATACCTAGGGGTGGAATTGCTGTGTCACATGGTAGTTTTATCTTTAGCTTTTTTTTTAAAATTTTTTTAAACATTTATTTATTTATTTTGTGTGTGTGTGTGTGTGTGGCCAGCTCAGCCCACCAGGGGGCGGGGCTGGCTGGCATGTGGTGCTAAGGATTGAACCATGGTCCCTGTGCTTTGCATAGCTTAGCTTGTTCCAAGTAGGTGCTTTAGACCACTGAGCCATCTCACCAGCCCTATCTTTAGCTTTTTGAGAAACTGAGGGAGGGAGAGAATTTTGAAAGGAGACAATATACTAGTGACTCTAAAGCTTTGTCTCTGTAACCTTCCAGGTAACCCTCACAGCCAGAACATCACGAGCAAGCTCACCCATGACACCGTGGAGCAGGTGCGTTACAGGTGAGTGACAGGGATGCCTGCCTGCGCTGGCCACCTATGTGGACTGACTTTCTTCTAAGCATCTGCCTGCAGCCCACAAAGATTCAGAGCAGTGTTCAGGACAGTCCCATTCAGCTCTAAAGCAATGCATGCATGATGAGATACCTCACTTAAGGTGAGATGAAGTACCAAATAGAGTAGGTGAGATGCCCAGGTAGGTGGCTCTGTACTCACACAGTTGTTTAAAGTAGCTGGGAAGGGATAACAAAATCACAAGGTCTTGTTTTCAGAAACAAAAAAGCACTGCCTACTTATATCCCCTTTTTTGTTTGTTTGTTTGTTTATTTGGCACTGGGAATCAAACTAAGGACCTTGCGCTTGCCAGGCAGGTGCTTATGCCACTGAGCTATATCACTGGTCCTTTTTTTTTTTTTTGCGGTGCCAAGGATTGAACTCAGGATCTTGCACTTGCCTAGAAAGCGCTTATTCTACTGAGCCATCTCCCCGGCCCCCTGCTCCTATTTATTTATTTTTGAGACAAGGTTGCCTAGGCTGGTCTTAAGTTTGTGTTCTTCCTTCCTCAGCCTCTTCATAGCGAGGATTTCAGGTGAACCACTACAGCTGAAACCCCATCACCACCTTTTTAAACTAGTTTTAATAACTTGTTATATTTTCAAACATGTATTAATTGGTTTCTGGTAATTAATTTCTAGATGGTTCCTAAAGATACCTGAATAATGTGACTTCAACTTATTTCAGATTTGAAAATAATAGTTGGGTGACAGGGTTGCCAAGATCCAAAGGGGCATAATGCAGGGTGACGACTTAAAACTTGTGATAGAACTGGGGAGGAAACACACCAAGGAGAAGGTGTATGCGACAATTATCAGGGTCATTGTCTATGTCTGTGTGTCCCGTTGGAAGTGGACTAGTCTCCAGGGAGATCCTCTGCCTCTGTCCTAACTTCACAACTGCGGCAAAATCTATCTGGAATTTTTCTAGCTCTTAGGGTGGATACGTTCTACATAGTAGAAGCGACCTCCAGCCAGCGCTGCGAGCCTGGCACTGCCTGACACTCTGCTTCTTCCAGGGTTCTGGCGCACTTTCACACCACACCCGAGGACTATAGCTTGGTTTTCACATCCGGAAGCACAGCGGCCCTCAAACTGGTGTCAGAGGCCTTTCCGTGGGTGTCCCGAGGCTCAGAGAACAGCGAGAGTCAGTTCTGTTACCTCACCGACAACCACACCTCCGTAGTAGGCATGAGGAAGATCGCCAAGGCCATGAACGTCACCTCCACCCCAGTCAGCCCAGAGGACATGTGGTTAGCAGAGGAAAGGGGCGCTGTGACCTCTGACCCTGACTGCCAGCTTCCACACCTCTTCTGTTACCCGGCTCAAAGTAACTTTTCAGGAAACAGATATCCCCTCTCCTGGATAGAGGAGGTCAAGTCCGGGCGGCTGCGCCCCGTGAACGTGCCTGGGAAATGGTTCGTGCTACTGGATGCAGCCTCCTATGTGAGCACTTCGCCTTTGGACCTCTCCGCTCACCAGGCAGACTTTGTCCCCATCTCCTTCTATAAGATCTTCGGGTTCCCCACTGGCTTGGGCGCTCTGCTGATCAACAATCGTGTGGCTCCCCTACTGAGGAAAAGCTACTTTGGAGGAGGGACTGCCGCTGCCTACCTTGCAGGAGAAGACTTCTACATCCCGAGGCCGTCAGTGGCTGAAAGGTAACCTTGCCATGGGGTTGGCTGGTGTAGTTCACCAAGGCAGCTTGGCCTGTGTCACCTCCAGGACTGTGGAGGGGTGTCTAAGGGGAGCTGATCATTGCTGACAGGGACAGGTTGGCACTGGGACTCAGGTCTGGGAGGCAGAGGTTGGTTGGAGCGTGTCACGGGCAGCTTAGTGATCTCTGCCCTGTGTGTAATGTGCTCTGTAGTGGTGGGGGACTGGAACTGCAGATAAGAGCTGTGAACGAAGGTGCAAAGGCACTGGGCTTGGCCCACAGCACTCACAAGGAGTGGCAGCAATTGCTACTGATGAGTCTCTTTGGAACAAGCCTGAACCCCATGGCAGCACCCCCAATTCTCCAGAGCACCTATCACTTCACATACGTGTGGCAGGAGAAATGGTCACTGTCCCGGGATTCTGCTGATGCCGTAGGAGGGGCCACCACGCTGGTTTGCTGGTGCCAGAGAAGGCCTGGAGCCAAGAGGAGGGGGGGCTTAGTTTGCACAGTGCAGCCTCAGCTTTCTGCACATGGGGCCATGACTCGGTGTAGCCAGGGGTAGCTGGAGGCCTGCAGCTGAGCTGCTGGGGACATGTGCAGTGTTTCCAGTGAAAGCTCTCACTGGCCTAAGGCAGCTGCTGGTCACTAGTCCACCTGGGGTGATTGCAGACTCCCGCCCCCACCCCTGAGGTCTGTCCTTCCCCAGTGGTCTCCCTGAAGGTGAAGACACCTCACATCCTGTCTCCTCTGTGTGGAGCCTCCTGCCCTTGGAGTCTCATGCTCCTCTGCTTCCCTCTGTCTCCTGCCTTGGTCTCCTGGCTCGCTCGGTTCTAGTCCCTGACCAGCAGTTGGCCTCCTTAGCAAAGCGTTTCTAGTTTTATCTAAGTAGAAGAAAGTGGTAACTCTCTTAGGGCTTTTTATTACCCTGCCATTCACCTTTGGAAGTTTTTTTTTTTTTTTTAATTTTTTTTAAAAAAATTTTATTTATTTATGTATGTGTGTGCGTGGCCAGCTCAGCCCACCAGGGGGCGGGGCTGGCTGGCATGTGGTGCTGGGGGATTGAACTGCAGTCCCTGTACTCTGCCAAGCTTGCTCTAAGTAGGTGCTTTAGACCACTGAGCCATCTCACCAGCCCCACACCTTTGGAAGTTTAAAGTTGTTCTGGAAAGCTGCAGAGCTGCTCAGGGTCAGATGCAGCAGGCAGCCTTCTGAGGGAGGAAGCAGTGTTCACAGGAGGCAGAAGGTGCCTACTGAAAGACCATCCCCCTCCCGACCTGAGCAGTCATTACCCGCCACACAGGGAGCACACTTGGCCACAGCCTGAGCTTTCCTGATCCCCCACACTGCAGGTTTGAAGACGGCACCATCTCATACCTTGACGTGATAGCATTAAAGCATGGATTTGATGCCCTGGAGCGCCTCACAGGTCAGTGGAATGTCTCACCCACATGGAATTAGCTTTCACAAGCTGTGTCCTCCAGGGAGTGCTGGTAGGGGTGTGGTGCTGATGAAGGAGATGATGTTTGTACAGGAAGTGAGCGGCACATACCTGTAGTAGCTAGACATTGAGTGCGGTTAAATCTGACTGGAAATCTCATTCAATCCAGCTATCCCCCTACTGGGAATTTTCCCAAAAGAACTGAAAACGTCATATCATAGTGATATATGTGAACCTATGTTTACAGCACCACAATTTGTGATAGTCAAACCTTGGAAGCAACCAAAATACCCATCACCTGAGGAATGGATGAAAAAGATGTGATGTTTTTATACAGTGGAGTATTACTCAGCTATAAAGAATGATAACTCGAAGCCTTCATATATAAGTGGATGCTGCTTGAAGATATACTCATAAGTGAAATAAACCAGACCCACATGTGTAAATATTGTATAGTCTCCCTAGTGTAAGAACTCAAAAGAAGAAATAAAAATTGAAAAGAGTTATCTTCAAAACAACTCCTCAGAGCAAGGAAACAAGGAGGGCATCTTGGGGTTCACTTGTCAGATATAAGAATACATAATGGATAGCAGGGATTCTGAATCAGAAGCTAAGCAGTTGTGGGTGTGCAGCGGGTACTATCTAGACTGGGAATGGTAATCCCAGGGCTTTATACTTAGTTCTCTGTGTGCTGGATCCCTGTAGAGCCACGCGGAGGAGCTGGTGACAAGTCCACTGTGCCCTCAAAGAGCAAGGAGTTGAGTGCCTTCTCAGGCAGGGAAGGGTCTGGGGAGATAGCTCAGTGGTCTAAGTGCCTGCCTGGCAAGTGCAGGGACATGAGGTTGATCATGGTGTTGCATGCAGTGCTGGCACCGAGCCAACCATCAGGCATGGGGGCACATACCTGTAATCCCAGCATCAGGTAGTGAGACGTGAGATCCTATATCAAATAAATAAATAAATAAATAAATAAATAAATAAATAAATGTTAAAAAAGAATTATAAAAAATTAAAAAAATAAAGTCATCACGATTGCATTTTCTTAAAAACAAGTGAGTGACTTTGCTGGACGTTCCTGACTTTTTCTGCTTGGTGTTAAGGTGGCATGGAGAATATTTCGCAGCACACCTTCCTGCTGGCTCGGTACACGCACACCGCCCTGTCCTCTCTCTGCTACCCGAACGGAGCCCCTGTGGTGCAGATTTACAGTGACTCTGAGTTCAGCAGCCCTGATGTTCAGGGTCCGATCATCAACTTTAATGTGCTGGATGACAGCGGGAACGTCATTGGTTATTCTGAGGTGCGTTTGCTTTTCATTTCACTGACGTGGATGCAACAGAATTGCTCTTTTCTGGAACTTGGGAGGCTTGCTGGGCCTTGAAATGTGCTTTGAGGCCTCCTTGCCTAGGAAGCAGGTGGGAGAAAGTGCAGACAGTGCTGGGCAGCCCGGCGCTCACTCCCAGTCTTTAATTCCCAATCACACAGTTCTAGTGAGCCGGGCTGTGTATTTCTCAAGTTCTTTTTACTCAGGCAGAATAGGAAATTTTAAATGGGAAGAGAAAGGCTGATTCTTCTGTTACCAGTGGAAGAGGTGACAGCTCTCCAGCAAGAGAAGACAGAAAAGCAGTGTGGACAGGACCACGGCTGAAGTCATTTGGTCACAGACAGTTTAGCACCCCAGTGGCGCCTCACCATGTTGTAGCATCATTTGTTGGCAGAGCACCTTTTCTAAGAGAAGCAGAAATGGTCCACAAAAGCCCTTACTTCTGCCTCAGTTCATGATTAGTTCAAAGACCCGGTGGGCTGGTCAGCCATGGTTTCTGCATATGTACGTGCTGCCTATAGTTTTCCATGAAAAAAAGGGGGGGGGGATCTGTGGTTTGCAGGTTTGGGGAAGGGCTTGAGTTGGACCTGAGTTTGGAGTTTGGTGCTCGTCTTCTGCTGAAAGCCACACTCTCCACATAGCTTTGTTTGTATTTTTTTTTCTTTTGCTGCCAGGAATCAAACTCGGGACCTTGCTGTTGCCAGGCAGGTGCTGTGCCTCTAGCTGCATCCCTGGACCGCAAATGCCTTTCCTAAACTTTGAATTTCCCAAATGAAGTCCATTTCTGAGCTGGACATTCTGGTAGTTCTAGTTATTCAAGAGACTGAGGCACGAAAATCACTTGTGCCCAAGAGTTTAGGGCCACCCTGGGCCATGCAGGGAGACCCAGTGTCAAAGATAAAAACATAGATATCCATTTCCCAAGGGATTGTCCCTTCCTCCATTCTCCTAAATAGCCCTACACTTTATAAAGAACAAACTTGGGAGCTGTTCTCCCAAGAGGAGGCAGTGCTGGTCTCCACTAGCGCTTGGGGGAGACGTCCAGCAGCTCCAGGTGGCCTCTCAGAGTTGGCAGTGGAGGCTCTCCATCCCCCAGGGCCTCCCTCAGCTTTATCCTGACCACAGTGCCACTTTGAAGTATGTTAAGCGGGGTTTGTGTCTAGGTGTGTGTTTGGATAGAATCCGCAGCAGGGAAAAGGAGTGCCTGCTCAAATATGCTGCTCTAGCTGATTAGTAAAATAGGCTTCATTCTTGCGGTACAAGGAAGTGGGAAAGAGCAACAGGTGACAGAGTGTCTTGTGGCAGGTGTGCCTGGGGAGAAACCCCAAAAGGGAGGAGTCACCAGAACCAGAGGGCTTGCGGTCCAGGACTGAGGAGTAGTCACAGGGGTGCCCATTTCCTGGGCTGTTTCCCCTTCTGGGTATCAGAGGAGGACGCTGACCACGGTTGTGAGGTCGTGGTGGCACATGGTCAGTAAGCTGCTTCAGCAAAGCCCAGTCAAGTTTTCCTGGCCCAAGCGAACTCCATGGTGTAGAAATCCCACAGGAATGTTGGTGGACTTCAGAGAGATTCAGTGGGGTCATAGTTGGGTCCAGTTGTCTCCTTTTCAGGGATGAGTAATAGAATTTAACCTTTTACATGCAGACTTTAGAGTTTTGTTTGTGATATCTGGGCCTTTTAATTTTATTCTCTCCCATATTCTGAGTCCTCGTAGATGATGGCTAAGATGTGGGTTCAGATTCTGACTGCCAATTGCTAGCTCAGTAATTTTGGGTGAGTTAACGTAAAATCTCCAAGACCTGTGAAATGAGAATAACTGTATACCTGGCTTAGCTTATGATATTATGATGGTTAAATGAGATATGATGTTTATATTCCTTGGTACAGGACCCTGGGGTAAAGTAAGTGCTCAATAAACCAAGGTTCCTGGCTAGGAGCTCCTGTGTGTTGTGGCTGGGCTGATTCCTTGTTCTTCTCAGGATTCAGCTGTCATGGTAACCAGCTTCATTTCCTGGCTAGGAACAAAGCTGTAGTTCAGTGGCCGTGTGTGTTCCTCTTTAGGTCAGCACCATAACTAGATGAAGGGATGAAGTATCTAGAGCATATCTAGAGGATGTTGAGGCACAGCCATTAGAGAGGAGTAATGAATCAGCAGGGTACACAATCCAGGCTGATGAGTCTACTGGCGCTAACAAGCAGGGAGTAAGGCTAGGCCAGGGTGCGGCTCCCCAGGGCTGAGGGCCCGAGGACCCCGACTCATCAGGGAGCTGAGCATGGCTGCAGCGGTGCCTTCCACCCTTATCCTTTGCAAGGTGACCTTATAATTTCTTTTATGGAAGGCTGGGATCCGTGTCTCTGCTCTTAAGTCTGGGCTGGTCTGTGTCTTGTGTGTAGCTAAGAGTGCTGCAAAGGTCACACTGTGGCTTCTAGGGCTGGGTCAGAAGAGGTGATGCCCCGTTGGCGTTGCTTCCTGGCTCACTTGCTCTTGGAGTCCTGAGTTACTAGGTAGGCCACCAACTTGTACCCTGAGGCTGCCACGGTGGAGGAAGCCACACTATTGGAGGGGCCACGCCCAGACACCACAGTAGGCAGGCCTCAGCTTTGAGACTCTCAGGCTTTGGAATCAGACACTACTCAGCTTGTGTGTTGGGGTAGAATATGCACTGGGGCAAAGAATGCCTGGTTAAATAGCCGTGAGGGTCCCTGGCAGGTATGGCTGGGGAAGAAGTCTCAAAGAGGGGACTTAAGATGCTCTTAGCATTTGAATCTTCCTGAGTGGAACTCAGGATATGAGGGAACAGAGACAAACTGCCTCTCCTGTGTGCAGCCTGAATTCCCGGCCCACGGCAGCCAGGAACATACTGCAGTGCTCTTGTTCTTCCAAGTCTAGCTGGCTGCTGTGCAGCAGTGGTAACTGGGGCAGTGAGCTTGTGGGTGAAGGAGGGTCGGGGGACTCCTGTCCTTTCTGTTGGGAACTGAACTGGGGTCCAAAAAAGAGCTGGCCTGTGAGTGGAGACCTAACTCTGCAGATAGACTTGACCAGTGGTACTGCCAGGTTCCGTCACCTGGGGCTAGGGACCACTTGGATTCCACTGACAGGTTTCTATGCCACCAGGTTGTTAGCCAAGGGTGAAGGAAGAGTTGCTTCTCCAAGATGCTTCAGTTTAGCTAGGGATTTTTTTTTCTCTTTTCTGATAGACCAGAGAGTCGGCCACAGTGAAGACAGCCAGGGTCTTCAAGGCTCTGTGGGAAGTGCCCTTGGCCAGCTGACAGCCCAGTCCAGCGTGGTGGCTGGTGGTCTACAGGTGATACCACGCTCCTTGTGGCTGCCTCTGGCCATGCCACATCTGAGAGTTCGAAGGCATAGCTGTGTGGGCACAATATATTTGTTTCCCCAGATGCAGTTAGGGGACTCCCCTCCCTGAGTTCAGCCTGAGCTGCCTGGACTGAGGTGAGGATCTGCTCTGGGTTCCATGGCCCCGAGGGTGGGAAGTCCTTGACCTACAGCTGAGGAGTGGAGGAACACTGCAGCGGGTGGGCTTAGGTCAATGTGAACAACCCTCCAGAGCCTCCAGGGTCACGAAAGAAGCTTGGGAACTGCCACACGGAGGGGCAGTTCTGAGGGAACCAAAAGTCAGAGAAATTAGGAACAGGAAATGAGTATCACACAGTGTCAGTAGTGACCCTGTGGGCCAGGCTGTGAGCCAGGTGGTGCTGCCTGGAACAGCACCTTTCCTGGGCTGGCTCTGAGATTAAACTCTGTGCAGCCAGTGCTGCTCTTTGAGACTTCTTCCCCAGCCATACCTACCAGGGACCCTTAAGGCTATTTAACCAGGCACTCTTTGCCCCAGTGCATATTCTACCCCAACACACAAGCTGAGTAGTGTCTGATTCCAAAGCCTGAGAGGCTCAAAGCTGAGGCCTGCCTACTGTGGTGTCTGGGCGTGGCCCCTCCAATAGTGTGGCTTCCTCCACCGTGGCAGCCTCAGGGTACAAGTTGGTGGCCTACCTAGTAACTCAGGACTCCAAGAGCAAGTGAGCCAGGAAGCAACGCCAATGGGGCATCACCTCTTCTGACCCAGCCCTAGAAGCCACAATGTGACTTTTGCAGTGCTCTTGGCTACACACAAGACACAGACCAGCCCAGACTCAAGAGCAGAGACACGGATCCCAGCCTTCCATAAAAGGAGTGTGTAGCCTCACTGAGTTATTTTTGTGACCCTCACTGAAAACATGTGGGATCTTAGAATTTATCCTGATCTTTATTTTTGGTATGCAGAATCAAACTCAGGACCTTGTGCTTTCCAGGTAGGCACTGTGCTACTAAGCTATATCCTAGGCCCAGCCTGAATTGCATATTTTCACTTTTCTAAAGCATTCTTCTATAGTTCAGTTGGATACCTTTAATTTCCAATAAAATTTTATAAGATGTTCAGTAAACCCACGACAGAGCATATATCTTAGGACAAATTTCCAAGCTCAGATTATCATTGTACTGTGAGGCAACAGAGGTCCAAACACTGATCTGAAACTCTCCCAGCTACCAGGGTAAGCCCGGATGTCTGTAACTATCATATTTGATCCACAGGTGGACAAGATGGCCAGCCTGTACAACATCCACCTGCGAACCGGCTGCTTCTGCAACACGGGGGCCTGCCAGAGGCATCTGGGCATCAGCAACGAGATGGTCAAGAGGCATCTTGAGGTCAGTACAGGGCCCTGTGGCCTACGCGTTGAGAGTCATGGGGCTACACTGTGGCTGGCCACCTGTCTGCTGGGGGCTGGTTGATGGGGCTTGCTGGTTGGGACCTTTCTGTGACTATACAAAGAAAAAAGTGGGTCATCAATAACAGAAAGCTTGTCGCTCAGTGGTACAGTGCTTGCCTGGCAAGTGCAACGCCCTGAGCTTGATTCCTGGTACTAAAACAAAAGAAAACAAAACAACAGAAAATATATTAAGGTTTTTTTTTTTGTTTTTTTTTTTTCAGAACTGGGATTGAACTCAGGGCCTTGAGCTTGCCAGGGAAGTGCTTATTCTATTGAGCCATCTCCCCGGCCCAAGATATTATTTCTTTTCTGTTTTTTTTGTTTTTTTTTTTGAGACAGGGTCTCACTATGTAACCCAGGATGGTCTTGAACTTACTGTATAGCCCCGGCTGGCCTTGAACTCACTTCGGTCCTCCTGCTTCTGCCTCCTGAGTGCTGGAATTATAGGGATGCACACCACCACTCTTGGCATTAAGATACTGTTTTTATGGCAGTACTTTTTGGTTCATTTTTTACCTTCAGGGAAAAAAAAATGTAAAGGCTGTTAACAAGGGGTATGCCAGTGCACATTCTTAAGTAGTCCAGTTTCCTTTCTTTTTGGGGTGGGGCGCAGTGGATTCTTCTAGTTTCAAGTATTCTGTCTCCAAGAATCCCCACCCTTCCTGTCTATCCCCAAAACTGAAACTTTTTAGTCTTGAGTACAACTTGTTTTGAACCAGTTTGTAAGAATACTTTGAGTGGCAAACTGCCCTACTTTATTTTGGAATAATTTCTAATTTGAGTTTCTATTGGTTGCTGCTGAATACTGTAGGCATTGTATCCCTAACTACTCATGAACTGGATTTTGTTTTAAAAAGAAAGAGTAATATAGAGGGAGGGAGGGAGGAAGGAAGAGATGGAGGAACTGAGGGAGGGATGAAGGGAGGGAGAGAGGAAGAAGAAGAAAATGGGGGAGAGGAAAAGAGTGGGGCAGAGGGAGGGAGGCAGAGGCTCAGAACATAAAGATGCCATTCCTGATGTGTTTTGCTTGTGTGGAATCTGATGGTCTCTGAGTGACTGGCCTGGACTCAATGGGAAGGTGTCCCAACAGCCTAGTGGTCATCCTAACTGACAGGCAGCAGGGCCTGGACACTGATGTCCTCTTGCCTTTCCTTTCCCTCCCTGTAGGGACACTCAGGCTGACACAGGCCTTCACAGTGGCCTCAGACAGGCCACCCCAGGGGCCGTGCTCAGGGAGGCAGGCTCCCCTCCCTTCAGTCTTGAGAGAGGCTAAGAGTCCTGGGTGGCCAGCGGGCCTTTCTCTTGCCTCAGCCCTGGTAGACTGTGAAGCTGACCTCCCAGCAGTTCTGAAACTTTGGCTCATCCCCTGAGCCCCCATGGGCCAGTAGTGTGGCAGCTCCGGGTGAAGGTTCTCTGTGAAGCATTTCTCTTTAGCTCTCTGGTAGCCTCATGAGACTGGTGCCAGCTTCAATTCATAGCTGGGCAGAGTGAGATCTGGGCAGTGGCCCTGAGTGTTCAGAGCTGAGCTGTGTCTCAGCCACACAGCTCATACTCGTGCTGTAGGACTGATCTCCTGGGTTAACTTAAAAATTAGCAAAGTTTATTTTACAAAACTATTTCCAGTCATGAGGCATGAGTCCCCCTGGCTGACTGGTCTCCTTTTTATTCCAGGCTGGTCACGTCTGTGGAGACAATGTTGACCTCATAGATGGGCAGCCCACGGGCTCCGTGAGGATTTCCTTTGGGTACATGTCTACATTTGAGGACGCCCAGGCATTTCTCAGGTTCATCATAGCCACTCGCCTGCACTCACCGTGTGGCCAGCCTGTCCCTCGGGCCAGCACTGAGGAGGCTGGAGCTCCAGCAGCAGAGAAGGTGCAGGACACACCCACAGTCACCAGGAGAGACTGTGTCTCACCTCAGGAAGGCGCCTGCATGGTTTCTGGGTTTTGGAACAGCTCCAGCTCCACTGTGAGCACCCAGGCTTTGTGCCCTGCTGTGAGCGAGGTGGTCAGTGCTGAGCAGACTCCAGCAGAGAGAGCTGCAGGCATCCTGCCTGGGGACCTTGTGCCGCACGTTGTCACCAACCTTTATCTCTACCCCATCAAATCCTGTGCTGCCTTTGAGGTAGGGCTTCTTTTTGCACAAAACCTGCTTCTCTTTGGTTTCTCTGTAAAGTGGTTCCCCCCCCCCCCAAATGAATTGAAGGATATGGACAGTGAGAAAAGCATGTAAAACTCAAAATCGTATAGTGAGAGCACTGGTGTGGGTAAAAAAACATTTCTCATTTTGCCTTCCCTATTGGCAATGAAATGTAGGCTGGCATTTGAATGGGTCTCTGCTCACAGGACCTGTTGATCACCAGAGCTATGATTTTCCCTGAATGTAGATGCTGGCCCCTTGGAGAAGCATTTGCTTTGCTTCCTTTATTTGAGATTTAAAGCAATCGCATAAGGTTGGAACGACCTAGGTAGGGAAGACAGCCTAGGCAGGTTGAGGTTAAGCACTTTGCCCAGGTCACCTGCTAATAAACAACTGGGCAAGGATTTGAACCTGGATCTGCTTGTCTTTGGGCCTTTGGTTGTATGTGATTTGCTCTGCTCAGTTCTCCCTGTGGAACCAAAGTATAGCCCTGTGTACACAAGTTCTGCATCCACTGATCCGACCAGCCAGAGATCGAAAATATTTTTAAAAATGCACCTATGCTGAACAAATACATACTTTTTCCTTTTGTCACTGATCTCTAAATGGGAGAGTGTAACTATTTATATAGCATTTATAGTGCCTTATGTAGTATACATAATCTAGAGATGGGAAGGTGGATGTACATAGGTTATGGGCACATACTACACTATTACAGGATTCTGTATCTGCGGGGGATCCTGCAACCTGCAGGACAATGTGCACTGTGTCTGCAACAGGTGGCCAAGTGATCCTCGTACCCGGAGGCCTCGGCTGGCGGCTAGCCCTCATCTCCAAAAGGCTGTCTTCCCTGCCGTGGCCACCTTGAGGCTGACTTTCTATAATCTTTATGTGTGACCCAAGTCCCAGACTCCTGAACCTCGGCTTTTCATCAGATATACCGAGGCTGGGCTATGTGTGGGCCTGCATTTCAGGGTGGTCCCCTAGGAGCCTCCAGGCTGAGACCTACCCCAGGAGCTTCATCCCCACTCCTGAGCAGAGGCAGGTAAGGACTCTGCCTTCACAGCTGGTGTGTGTTTTGTAACACAGACACACAGATGGCACGGCAGGTGACAGAGGAGGAGCCTGAGCTCACCGAGGGCATAGTTTTCCTTGAACCAATAGGCTGGTAATACCAGAGCTATGGAATAAGTCCTGACATCTCATTTTTCCCAGTTATCCTGATCCAGCTGTGGAATCAACCACTTCTCCATGGAGTCCCCATTCTTTTTATCAGACAGTGGTGTGAAAAAGCAAGATCTGGGTACTGAGTGGAATTGTGTTTTAATTTCATAGAAATATGAGGAATTCAGGAAAACTTACATACTTAAAGTGGATCAGCTTAGCACCCCAGCATAGCCCCAGTTTGTGCAAGAACCGTGCCTGTCATGTCAGGGCGTGCCTATACATGCTCCCACAGTAGCAGAAGGGTGTATGGGAAGCCGGAGCCCTGGGTGCTTCTGGAGAAGGGTTCTGGAGATGGTGGGATGGAGTGCGCTCTTGTACTCTTGGGATGTCATGCATGAACTTGGCTTACCAACCCAGAACACAGGCTGAGGTGGACAGGGTGGAGGTATGGGTCTGGAGGCCAAACACCATGGGTCTGGAGGGGACACCATTGTCCCCTCTGCATTGCTCTCTTTGCTTTGCTTTCTCTTCTTCCTCCCTTTCTTCCTTCAAGAGTATGCGCTGGGCTCATGAAGTCCACCGTGTTTGTGCACCCCTGTGTGGCAGTGTGAAGAGCATCTTTGAAGAGCCCTTACCTCAATGCACCTACCTTTTGTTTAGGTGACCACGTGGCCCATAGGGAGCCAAGGTCTGCTGTATGACCGGAGCTGGATGGTTGTGAACCACAACGGTATTTGCTTGAGTCAGAAGCAGGAGCCAAGGCTCTGTCTCATCCAGCCCTTCATCAACCTGCAGCAGAGGATTATGGTCATCAAAGCCAAAGGTGTGAAAACACTTCATTTTCTAGGGTAGCTGTGGAGAGTGCTTTCATACTCAGATAAAAGTAAATGAATCCAGGGCTGTGGAGAAAGCTCAGCAGTCTAAGCTCCTGCCCGGTTAGTACAAAGACCTGGGTTCGATCCCTGATACCACATGCTGTGCCAGCTCAAGAACTCAGGGCACACTGTGCCAGCCACTGAAACCAGAGGTGGTGGCTCACATCTATAATCCCAGCGCTGGGGAGGCTGAGACAGGATGATCATTATGAGTCTGAGCTGTGTAGCAAGACCCTGTACCAACTAAATAAATGAGTAAAAGATTAAAAAGTAGAAGTAAATGAATCTCTTTGTGCCTTTCTGCTACCAAATATTAAAGATATGCTTTAAAATTTTTTTTTGGTACTGGGGATCAAACCCAGGATCTTGCTCTTGCCAGGCAGGTGCTTATGCCAGTGAGCTATCTTTCCAGCTCATATGAAAGATATTCTAAAGTGCAAATGTAGGACAGACAGCAAAAAGGTTGTTTCCCCTTTGATTTGGGAAATTTCTGAGAGGAGGTAACAATTTGACAGTCCAATTAGAAAGCAAAGAGGTTTAATCTTGGAGTGTCCGATTTCTTTTGCACTTACCTCCTGTGTGTGTGTGTGTGTGTGTGTGTGTGTGTGTGTGTGTGTGTGTGTTGTTACAGGGATTGAACTCAGGACCTTGTCCTTGTTAGGCAGGCTCTTAAGCTGCTGAGCTATCTCCCTAGCCACAACTTCCATCTTTGTTACATTTCTCATTGCTGAGACAAAAACATCCCACCTCCAAAGTTAAAGAAAGAAAGGCTTATTTAGCTCGCAGTTGGTAGGTGTCAGTCCACCACCGTCGGCTGGCTTCAGGGCAGGGTGGCCTGGGAGACGTACATCGCAGAAGAGCACCAGTCCACAGCAAGTCAGGCAGGACGCAGAAAGCGGTGGCAGCCAGCCTGCCTTCCTCACTCCAGCCCCTAACCTTATACTGGTGCCACTCACACCCGCAGTGAGGCCTTCGTTATCCACACCGAGAACTAGCTAAACCCATCTAGTTCTCACACATCCCTAATCCCAGGTTCACACTTCCTAGGGCCGCCACCTCCAAAAAGCCCTGCCACCCCTACTGCACAAAGCTCTGGAGAGAGACTGTAGATGCAAGTCATAACCCCTGCCTTTATCCCTTCACTCATAGTGTGTACTGTGTACTGATTCTCCCTGGTGGTTTTAACACATGAAAAAGTATAGACCAGCTCTGTGCACTAGAACTTTCTGTGATGACATGTCTGGCATCTACCCTGCCCAGCTTGGTGGCCACTGGTCACCTGTGGTTAATGGGCACTTGAACTGAATTTTAAATTGTACTTAATTTTAAACAATTTTGATAGCTTTATGTGGCTAGTACCTTACAGTGTCAGACTCATAGGTCAGAGAATGATATGTAATTGTAACACCCAGTTCCAATAAACCTTAACATTTGTATCATGCCTTCAGAGCCTCCTCCTTCTCCTGTGTTCTTATTTATGTAGGCATGTGCCTATATATGTATTTATCTTGGTACTAGAGATTGATAACCCAGGTTGTCATCACTGAGGTATATCTCCAGCTCTTTTTATTTTTTGAGAGTAGGTCTTGCTAAGTTGCTCAGGCTGGGCTGAATTTGAGATCCTCCTATCTCAGCCTCCCAGAGTGCTGGGATTACAGTCATGCATAATCACACCCAGCTGTCCTTTTTAAAAGAAATAATAATAAAATATTATAAATATGGCTGCAATTCTCTGTACTCTTCTTGGGTCTTCCTTCTCTGCCTTCTCCTTACCTACCATTAGCAGACTTATTCCAACTTTCTCCTAACTTGTAGATTAAGTGACATACTATATTTTCATGTTTGTGATTTTATTTCTTGACTGTAACTTTTCTATTTTGGTTGTTTGTTTTTCCTTAAACCAATAGGCCACTATCACTGTAGTTACAAAATAAGTCTTGACATCTCTGTCTTCTAAGTGATTGGGCTATTCTTGGCCTTTTCTTCTCCTATGTGAATTTTAACACACATACGTATCTGTGTCAAGATACAACCAGAGTCAAGGTACAACCCCTACCCAGACTCCTTTGTGGTAGCCCAGTGTAGCCTGCCCTGCCCTTAAAACTACTAACCAGAGATCCTTTCTCTATCACTGTAGGTTTTTTTTTTGTATTGGGAATCAAACTCATAACCTTGTACTTGCCAGGCAGACACTGTGCCACTGAACAATATCCCCAGCCCTCTGTCACTGTAGTTTTATCTTTTTGAGTATGCTATATAGGAGAATCCTGTAGTAGGTGACCTTTAGAGATTGGCTTCTTTCACTTCGCATGGTGCCTTAAAGATCCCTTCAAGTTCCACATGTTAATGGTAGTCGTTCTTGGTTGTCGAGCTGTATTTCAAAGTATGAATGCAACAAACAATGTGTTTTGTCCATTTGTTCACCCAGGGCTATTTTATTTTTTCTTGATAAAAGTCCAGCTTCATTCACACTAGTGAATTTCAACCATTACACTTTGCTGATTCAAGCAAACTCAACTCTTAAAAGTAGTAACAAATTTGAACTGACAAAAGGGAAAGATTACATTATAACCATTCAATGTGCTGTCATTCTTAGAACAAAAAACTAAGAAGTCATTACATGGGACTTTTAAAAACCTAGCACAGGGCACAAGAAACAGTTACTGACAGTTACCTGAAAGAATAGTTTACAGAGATGGGATGTTAAAATAGTGCTTTTATTAGAAGGACAGCAGCGCATACCTCCACCCTCACTATAGGTGTCAGTAAGAAAGTGGAGAGATTTTTATCCACAGGTAACCTCACAAGGGGGCTCTAGTCTCTCCTCGCTCAGGCCTTGTTCTCCCAGTCCCTTCAGTGCTCCTCATGACCTCTGTCTCTGTCTGCACCATGGCTCCCCCGTGTCCCATCTTGTCTTCTGTTCTGCTCTTTGCTGGGACTGCACTGGGGCCAGGTCCTTATCTGCCTGTGCTGGTAGCCAGTGGGACTCTGGTTCTCTCCCTGCTGCCCCACTAGTAGGCTGCTGCTCCTCTCCCTGCCCTGGCTCCCCTCCTTCCCTGTGGATCCTCCGCTCTCCAGGCTCCCACAGAGGCTCCTGGAATTCTGCTCAGAACCCAGCCTGTTGTGTGGGCTGCTGTTCTCCCCAAACTCTTGCCTTGCACAAACTGAGGCATTTCCCCAGCTGTTTGCTTGTTACGGTGAAGGCTTGAGGGTTCCTCATAAAGTTTCTCTTCTTAGACTTTTCTTCAGAATCTCTGTTGTTACTTCCTAAATACTTGGGTTTTTTTTTTTTTTCTTCTTCTTTTTCTATTGTCTTTGCTCTGCTGTCACTCTTACTCTGATTGCTGCTTTCTGAAGTTTCTGAAGAGGAGGAAGAGGAAGAGGAGGAAGATGAGGAAGATGAGGAAGACGATTTGTGCTTATGTTTTTTGTGTTTACTTTTGGTTTTGTGTAACTTTTTATTTTTTCTGTCTCTTTTCTTTTTCTTATTTCTTTTTTTTCCCCCAAGTCTGTCCAATTTCCTGAGAAGTTTCTGTTTTGTTTGTTTGTTAGTGACATTAAGAATTCAACTTTTTTTTTTTTTTTTTTTTTTTGCCTGACTCAGAATGCCTTCAGGGCAGGTTTGGCTGGCGTGAGTTCTGGAGATTGAACCACAGCAACCTGAGCCTGCTTTGTTGAAACAGCCACTTAAAGAAGTAAGCTAAGGGGCAGGCCCCCAAGAGTTCATCTTCTGGATCTTCTTCACCCTCACTTGCAACACACTCCCATGACGGATCATTTGCGGTCAAGTTTCTCCCCAGCACATTGCGTCTCAGTGCAAACCCACTGTTTCTTGTCTCCGCTGTTATCTCCAAGGGGTGCATCGATGGCCCTGAGCCGTCAGTGGGAACTTGCATTGATTCCAGAAAGACCAGACAAGGGACTCTCCTGATCTGTGTTGACATGACCCCATTTATGACATCTAATGCACCTCACATTTTGAACCTGAGTTCCAAAAGGCTGCTCTCAGATATTCATATCATCTTTGGCATATTTTTCCCATGGAGCCCCCTTCTGCCATTCACATTGTGTTCTGTCTCTCCTTCTGTTTTTTCTTTCTCTTTGTTTTTTTTTATAAATTTTAAAAATAATTTTTTATATAAATTTATATCTTGTCCTTGTTAGGCAGGCTCTTAAGCTGCTGA